AGGCCAAAAATACTGTGTAAAAAATTAAGGTAAATAAAATCGGAGAGTTGCCAAATTTCCAGAAAGAAGTTCAGAATCTCAACTGTACACTATAAATGGTGTATGTTTGTTTAACATTGGCTGGATCTGGAAATGACAAAAAGTGAGTTAATGCGACAGAAATTCCTTCGCCCTTGAAGTACAGTCCAACAAATCCCTCTTTTTTGAAAAAATCATAAAATTTTGTTTTTGCGATATAACAGTAGAACCAGTAATCTAAGTTTTTAGTTGCGTTAATGCCTGTTGACGTCAACACTGTGAACAAACGTATTTCAATGTTAGTTTGTTGGTGTAGCGAACTTGTCATCGTCAGTCTACAATGGAATAAACGTTAACGGACAAGTGGCAAAATAGCAAAATTCGCTAATCTACTCGAGAATGTGTATTCGATGTTCAAATGAAAATTTTCTCGTGGTTGGTCATGATGATCATGAATTTAGAAAGCTGTAATAATGTAGTTTTAGCAGAAACATCAAAATTATTGAGGATGTGTTTTAATGCCGAATCGATGAAAATAATTTTCGCTTAAACGTAATCTTAGGCCAGTTTGACAGTCTCGTATAATTGCATGCAGAGTATGGTAGTTAACGTATATCAAAGGGCAATCACGTTTGCTTGTGCTGAATCTAATTAAGTGGACTCCTGGTAGTTGTATGCAAGAAACCGAACATTGAGTAACTAAGTGCGTCGCGATTATGTCTACCTAATCCGTATTATTCGAATTAGAACGATAATTCAGTTTGAGAATGGGCGACATCTGGTCTGGTCCTTCATCTTATTTTGCCAAGGGCGTAGCTTATTTTGAAAATCGTGTCTTCGAGAACGTACATAGAATTTAATTAAGAGGGTGTTTATAATCGGTGCAGATGTGAAAATTTCATTGTCCCTGACTTGAGTAAAATTAGTCTTCGAATGAATAATGGGTGAAATTTTAAAGATGATAATTAAGTTACGGTGTTTCATCAATTTTCAAATTTATTAAAAGTACAATAAATGTTGAAAAAGTGTAGTGTGGTGTGCACCGCATTTGAAACTAGAATTTATTATAAAATTAATTTGATTGGTTTGGTTGCTTTTGTGTTGGTGAGTGGCATTATTTTAGATCTACTTATAATTAAATTAACAACAAAAATTGTAAATAAATAAGTTTTAAATTAAAGATTTAGCGACATTCAGCTGTATTGATCTGCAATGGGTTTTAATAAGTTCTAAATCAAGTTATCTGTATATAAAGTGTTTTCAAATGAAGGGAAGTGGGTGCTTTCATCGAAAACAATATTAAACATAAATTACACTCCCTTTTTTTTTCTAGTGAGTTCTTGCGGAAATTAAAAAAGGCATTTAAAACAAGGAAGTTTTTAATTTTTTTTTAATTACTTTTATATTTTTAATTTAATTTATTTAATTAACTTAAATGGCATTTATATGTTTGTTGCGATAACAAGCTTAAATATTTTTACAGGTTCTTACAAAGTGACGCAGGTAAGTATATAATAAATAACGACTTAACCGACTTTATTATATTTTACATTGTTTGTTACAAAAAATTGCACATTGCTGATGATTTATAATGAATACCGAGCCCAAATAAACTTTAATGAAATCATTTTGAAATTACAAGGTATAACAAAAATAAAAATATATTTAAAATATTAAATTAATATTAAACGTTCATTTGTTTTTGTTTACGATATTCAATTTTTTTTTAATTCATGTATCACGGTGTCATATTTTGTTAAAAAGCTGTGGTAAAAATTAATTGTTTTGGTCACTAGTCTCTAAATACTTGTTTCCAAGTAGCTTTAATCGTCCAGAAACAAGCTGTTTCAGGGCTAAATCGTAGAAAATTTCATTGGACTCGATTCTTACTGTTACTCTGTTACTTCAAGCAATATGAAATTATTTCTGCATCTTATCGGAGAAAATTCAGTAGACTTGTTGAAATCTTAAAAAAATACGTATGTTTCAAAAATCTTAAAAAAACACAGATTGGGAAACGCTGACTTGGAACTTAATGTTTTATTGAAAATCAAGACACATCTACTACAGAAACTGCAAATAAAATAAACTTCAAAAACCAGTTACCGAGTAGTACTGATGATATAGTAAAAATACCACCAAATACAAGCTTACATTCCTAAGAAAGTACATATGGTTTAGAAGAACATCATCCAGAACAGAGAGTAGAATTTTGAAACCTATATATTATTAGGATTCTTCAAAATCTCTGCACCGTTATATTTTATGGTCTGTCACTATCTAAAGAAATTTTCAAAGAAGTTTGGAGTAAATGTTAGGTGTATTCTTTCCCTTCCGAAGTATAGGATCAATTTTTAGACAATGTTTCTTCAGCTGAATTACATGGTATAATAATTTTTCAACATTCAGTTAGAATTTTTTTTATTTACGTTTTCGGATAAATTGTTTACATGCAATTAGATGGCTTGCTTGTTTCTCTGATTTAACTCCACTAGGTTTTTTTTGTGTTATCAATTATCATATTCAAAATAGAGTCTATTTAACTCTCCCTAACTCAGGGGAAAAACTGAAAATAAAACTCCGGTTAATATGTTGTTGAAGTAGACTTTATTTAGAACAAAATGGTTGTCTGTTTGAACCAGTTTTTGAATTTTCGTTGATCTACACAAGTATTTGAATTTTAAAATTAAAATTGAAATGATTTATCAGTGAATTTGGAAAAAATCTCTACAATAAAAATTTGTTGTAATTTTTGAAATAAGAACGTAATATATTTCAAACGATTTAATTTGACGTAACAGACAAAGTTGTATTCGAAAAAGTATAGTAAGTAAGCTATACAGTTGGACTCTTTTTTTGAACGCACAGTATATAGATAAGTATTTATCATATTATATGCTAATGAGTCTCCATGATTTATTTTTTTCTTCATATTTATTTTCAATAAAATAACAAAATAAAATTCAAAATTAAAATTCAAAAAGCATATGCTGTCAAATTTCGGTAAAAATATTCTTGTGTTGACCTTGATTAGGTATAACTGATTTGAATTTAAGTTTGGGAAGCAAAAATTTGGTCATTTTACCACTAATGACTGCACTTTTCATGTCAAGCGACTTGTTGCGTGCTGAATAATAAAGATATATATACAGCGTGTTATTGAAAGGTACGTACAAAATAAAATCGGTAATTGGTCTCGAAGTATGGGTGGTAAAAGTAAAAAAAAATCAGGTAAAAGTGTTCTCCTTTTAGAGATAAAAATTATTAAAATTTATGTCCAAATTCGTTGTACGCCTCTGATAAAAAGATCATCTTTCGTTTCTATAGCAACATTTAGTCTTGACAAAAGTTTTATTGTTACAGTTGCTAGGATTTACTAAAATAAATTAGTTTTACCTATTTATCCTTCAGTAGCGTCTAAAAAGGTTGAACAAGGGCTAATTTTCCCTTATAATTTTGATAACACGAACTAAGTTTGTCAGACTTCTTAGACTTCGCGAATAGCTCTCAGTTTTTGTTGTACGTACCTTTCAATAACACCCTGTATAAGACTCAATTTCATAATTTAGGACAAAGTTTGTATCCGTACATAGTGAGTAAGATTAAAACTATAACGTAATGTTCTTATGAAATCTAAACATTATAAGTTTTTTTTTTCATATTGTGATTGGTAATTATTTCAAAATTATCGTAAACTTTTAATCATTTTTATTTCGTGATCGTAAGTTAGGGAAGTGTTGTAATAGGATCGATTCGATGAATACATAATTTTCTCGACGTCTCATAACCAACAGAACATGTCTGTTTGTCCTCGGTCTCTCTATCGTTCTTTTGTCGTCTCTCTGGCCTCAAGCTATCGTTTGTCTGTTGTCTCTTTGGCTTTTGTCTGTCTGTCGTCTGTCTGGCTTTATTTTTAACATTAAATAATCCAAGTTTTTGGTAAATAAAATCAAAATTATATAATAACATTTTACAATTTATGCTCTGAAAGTCTACAAACGTTTTAAGGTTATTGTAAGCATGTAAAATAGTTTAAATTAAGAGTGTGTAGTTATGATTTATCAATACCTACATTAATATTTTATAGAATTGCTTATACGATATGAAAAAAAAAAAAAATGAATGAAACAGTTTGATTGAATGACTAAATTAAGATTAGATTATTTTATGGAAACTTGATATACAGGGCTGGGGTTAACAGTATTACGCTGTGTATATCTAAATTGATGTATGATTGTGTCCCCAGTAAAAAGTTGAAGACACAAAATTTTGTTATGAAAAACTCGTTTTAAACTAAGCATAGCATGCTTCGTTATCTGCATATATTTATTTTCACTTATGGAGTTATATATAAAAAAAATAAATTCACAAAATTAAATTTTATTTTTGTTTTGGATACAGCTTTGTAAAAAAGGATGTGGAATAACCACTTTCTAATAGTTTTTTGCAATAAAATATAACAAATTCGAAGAAGCTAAAACATGATGTAAGGTGACATTACTAAAATCAAGATAGATAGCTAATGTTTAAATCATAGCTGTGAATTGACACTTTGCTGTGGGGTTCGCAAGCCAATAGCCCGTTCTGCTACAACGTGACTGTCTTGTAAACTATTCATGAAATGTCACTCAAAGTACTACTTCCCTATTAATTATGGATAAGTTAAGTAGTGGATCACACGCCGTGGTCTCTCCGAGATGTAATCTACCGTCTACAGTAAGCGCTGCTCCTGACACTGATTAATCGCAACTCTGGCATATTATAAAGGGGTCATTTACATGCCGCTTGCCGACTTTTTCTTGTTATTTGAGGCAAATGATTCCTGCGGTTTGTAGTTATGTATTATCCCTCTTATTGTTCACTATCGATCCTTAAGTAATTTTTAATAGTAACATTGTTCAACAAAATTAGATACTACCAACATGTATTTTATTGGTGGCTGAGCCTAACAAAAAACGATCAATACAATTTAGTTAGTCTACCTTCATATGGACATCCCAGAAGTTCTATTCGCAAGCAAATGGTCCTCCTGTGGACACTGTAGGGTAGAATTCGCACTTTGCTGGCAAATACGGGCGGCATTAGTCGCTGGCTTTCTACGGTTGCAGTGTCACTGTTGCCTCGTAATATCTGAAAGTTTTAAATGTTTTTAATTTTAATATATTGTTGTGTATGGAGAGGTAAATAAATATTAGTCTAAAATGGCATGTTTAAAGTGTAGCATCTTGTGATTATATTAAAGCCGTGTAGTCACTAGTATTCCCTAGCACAAAAGTTTTTCATGTGGAAAAAGCTTAAGACCACTAAAGGCTTCCAATGACTTACGGAGCATTTAACACGAAACTGTTATTATAAATGGAAGTTACGTTTTCCAACGTTACGTATTTGCTGCATGAAAGAGTCAAATTTGAATTCTCGGCAAAAATTGTTTTTCCGTTTACTACCATTGTTACAATATACAATTTACTTATAGAATAAATTCAGTAATTGCAAAACAATGGTATTTATCGAAAATGCTGAACAGGTCAATTTACATTTCTAATTACACTCTTTTTAAGTTTTTTCATGATATCATCCACTCTTGCTTTAGTTGCGGGTAGTACTTGCATGATATGTGTATCTTAAATAGTATTTCCAATACACATTTTATCTAGCCCAAGAATATTGTACATTGAACACGCTTTTAACGTGTTTTTAACTTCTTTAAAAATCGTCATTGGAGCGTTAAAATGTAATATTCTCAAGAACTTTTGAGAAACTGAAAAGGAGCGTAAAATAGGTACATAGTTTTTACAGTGTGTGTCGTTGTTTGGTACAGATTGCGAAAAATACAAAAAATGTCTGTTTTACAATAATCGTTTATTAGATATCATCAAGTTGTAATTACAGAATATTTCAAAAATAACGAACTAACGAACTAAAAACAGGTCTCCCGTCTCCCGGATTGCATCTATATATTGCCTGCCATCTGCATCGGTTCCAGATTCAGCAGATTCACAGATAATCTTCGAAACTGCTGGACTGATTATTACTAAATTTTAGGCATATTTTAAAGGTATCAAGTAAATGGTAAATAGTTAACAAAAATTTATCTAATCGTTCATCACAAAAATTTATAAAAAAAAATATTTAACGTGTGTAAAATGTTTGATCTGTGATGTGGAAGAAATCAAAATCGGCACAAAATAATAAAAATTTAATTTGAAAACTACAAAACCATGAAATATTTTTCAAACGTTGAGGTTACCGTGAACATCGTAAATCGCTGTTCGTAATTCATCTGTTCCATTAAAAACCTTGATGAGGTCACCTTAAAATTTTGCATGAAATTTATACAAATTATTGTTATTACTGTAACAATCTGAAACTGCTCTGATTAAAGTCGCAGACAAAACTTAGCGGCAAAGAAATGTTATTTGCTTGATTGTCACGAGATTTGTATATATGTATAAGCTACACACAGACACGAGTTTAGTAACAATTCAATGTGGTAAAAGTTTAGGTTAACCCAATGATATCACTTATACGTCACATGAATGTTCAACTTGTGTCATTCTGTCAAGTGTAGACTAATGTTGCGATTCCACTTTGTTAAGTTTGGTCTGCGACTTTAATTTTAGTAACAATAATAAATTTTAACATCTTGTAAATTTACAAAAGAAATTTTACACTTCTCAAAAATATATTAATTACCTAAAAGAAACAACTAGGTTTCTTATAAAAATCACAAAATTTGTGTGTGTTGTAAAACGTTTTTTCCAGAAGCTGCATTTTGGTTAGTCTTTTAAAACTATCAAGGTCGCTGTGCCTTATTTATTCTAATAATACAATACGTAATTTACGTATGTTAGTCAATATATTTTGATTAACAATGTACCATGCTTACAATAACTATAAAACGTCTGCAAGATTTCAAGTATTCGGTTTTGCAATTCCTGATTTATTGAAAAAAAGAAATTAAGTCATATATTAATTGCTTTGAGTCACCGTTTTTCAGCAAATCCAACAAATATTACTGCAACGGTAAAGTAGTATAGACTTACCATATTATGTGCATTTAAGATAAGATTTATTCGGCAAAATTTTGACTTAAAAATATATATAAAAGGCAATTTCCCGCCCAGCCCAAACCGCTAATGCTAGAAATTTGAAATTTGGAGAGAATGTTCATTTTATACTGAAGGCATCGTTTAAGAAGGGATTTCTCGAAATTCATCCCCTAAGGGGGTGAAAAGGGATGATAAAATTTGTATAGGACCAATATGTCTACTGTAAAATTGACATCGTTACGTGAAACCTGGTACAATTTAATTCTCTTCAATACAAATAAGGAAATACGTATTTAAGCATTTTCGGAGATTAGACCCCTAAGAGGGTGAAAAGTGGTGCGTAAGTTTGGGCGCCTAAGTTTGCATAGGAACCATATTTCTACTATAAATTGAAATTTTTACATGAAACTTCGTATTAATGCTCTTCGACATAAATAATGAAACACGTATTTAAACATTTTCCGAGATTCAACCTCTAAGCGGGTAAAAAAGGGTATGGATAAGTTTGTATGAGAAAAATATTTTTATGGTGATGTTTACTTAAAACTTGGTATTAACGCTCTTCAGCACAAATAATAAAACACGTATTTAAGCATTTTTCCAGATTCAACCCCTAAGGGGGTGAAATGTGGTGGCTAGATTTGTGTGGGAATATTTCTATTGTAAATTTAAATTTTTACGTGAAACTTGCTATTAACTGTCTCCAACACAAATAATAAAATACGTATTTAAGCATTCTCCGAGATTCAACCCCTAAGGGGATGAAAAGTACTGGCTAACTTTGTGTGGGAAAAATATTTCTATTGTAAATTTAAATTTTCGCGTGAGACTTGGTATTAATGGTTTTAAACACAATTAATAAAACACGTATTTAAGCATTTTCCGAGATTCGAGAGCCCCTAAGAGGGTGAAAAGGGGTGGCTAAGTTTGTATGCGAAAAATATTTCTATTGTAAATTTACATTTTTACGTGGAACTTGGTATTAAAAATGCTTAAATACGGGTTTCATTATTTGTGTTGAAGAACATTAATACCAAGTTTCACGTAAAAATTTCAATTTATAGTAGAAATATTGTTCCTATACAAACTTAGCCGCCCAAATTTAGACACCACTTTTCACCTCCTTAGCTGTCGAATCTCCGAAAATGCTTAAATATGTGTTTCGTTATTTGTGTTGAAGAGCATTAATACCAGGTTTTAAATAAACATTACCATAAAAATATTTTTGCCAATACACACCCCTTTTTGCCCCCTTGGGCTTGAATATCGGAAAATGCTTAAATATGTGTTTCATTATTTGCATTGAAGAGAATCAGTACCATGTTTCACGTAACAATGTAAATTTACAGTAGGCACACTGGTCCCAGACAAATTTTATCACCCCGTTTCACCCTCTTAGGGGATGAATTTCGAGAAAGCATTTGTAGTTTTGGCTGGGCGTTGATAGGTCAGTCGGGACATTGCCTTTTCTATATATAGATTTTTTTCATGATTCCGCCCCTAAGAAGATGAAAGGGGGTGACAAAGTTTGTATGAGGAAAAATATTTTTATGGCGATTTTTACTTGAAATTTTGTATTAATGCTCTTCAACACAACGAATCGTCTACGCGAGCGAAGCCGCGGGGAAAAAGCTAGTATAATATAAGTATGTGGAGGACTTGAAGATTACCCGGACGAGTCCACTCTCTGATTATTATTATTACTTTGAAATTTGGACAAAGTGTATCAAAATACCTAGTCTAATTAAAACATACTCTTGACGTTATTTACGCCGAATTTCTTCTCCGAAACTTTTGTAACCGCGTGTACTTCACTGTTATTGCAAACTTATTAATTAAATTTTAATATCGCATTAAATGTAATTTTGCTTACGTAAACACCGACAATTTACTGGCAAATATTTTTTCAGATTTCGTAGAAATTAAGAGTCCATAACAATAAAGAAGTACATAAATACAGGGCGCATTAACTTATCCTTCGTCATACCTCTCTTGCATTATTTTTCGTATTTTTTTGCTATTTACTTAAACGTACGTAATTGCTTTGTGTTTCATTTTCTTTGTACACTTATCACGACAGACACAAATTGATGTCAAGCTGCTTTTCAAAGAACAATTCGTTTCTTGGCATTTCAGCCACGGTTGGTTGAAATACAAAAAATATAACTTAAGTTAGGAAACGATTTTGTACAGCACAACCAGAATAAGAGCCGGACTTAAACGATATCATCTCAGAGTATTGTATTTGCTGACAGACAATCTGATGAGATTAAAGATCTAGAAATATCTGAGGTTGCTTTGTGTGCGGTGGAAACCTTCTATTTGAGTTTTAAATTAAAATAAAGGCAGCACGTTTATCATTGTTGTTCATGCTGTGAATAGATAAGTATCTTTAGTTACACTCGATATTTAAAAAGTAAATTATTGTTTTTTACAATTAGATGGCTTTAAAATTGAAATTTTAGTTACACTAGGGAGTTCCTTGCTGAGATTTACTTATATAACATTAACGTATTAAATTGTAGCAAGTTTTATTTAGAAATTTAACCTGTAATTATATTTCTATCATATTTATTATAGAGTATTTTTATCAGAATAAACTAAAAATAAGAGCAATCGATATTATTAAGTGAATATCGAGAATTTATCAATGGGTGAAATAACGACTTATTTTAACGTTATTTTATATTAATACGACTGTTTTTAGTTCATTAAAATGACCTATAATTAGGTAAAACACAATAATTATTACTCCTATTTATTAGAGAGGGAAACAGATTATCTTGTTTTTGACGATTCACAAACCTATTTAGATAATTTCTTCTATGTCTATGTTAATTATTAAGAATACTGAAATGTTAATGAAGCATATTTTTGTGCATTTGATATCTAACAGTGTGCAGCATCAAAGTTCCATCATAATATTTATGTTAAAGAGCTGCTGTTCTCTTTACAAACATTTTGATCTAAAATAAATCAAAAACGGTCTCATTTTCTTGCAGGTGTAATTATACAGTGCTGTTGTGATTAGTATTACACTCTACTTATTTATATACTTATATAATTGATTATGCTTCAGGA